CAGGGCTCCGGCTGTTACTGCTTTGCCTGAGCCCACCCCTGCTGTGGCTGCAAACCTTCCTGGGGTCACAGACCAAGTACTCCTGGGGAAAACTATGGCAGGAGTGGACCACCGAGCCTGTCACCTCTTGCCTAGCTGATCAGTCACAATCACGGGAGGCTGGGTCCAGTCCACAGCAAAGTACAGAATCTTGGCACCTTTTTTTCTGATTACAGCAGATCACAGCTCAGGGTCTTTGCTGAGCTGGTAAATGAGAAGAGGTCTTGCACACATAGAGGAACAGAAGGAGATGATGAGTTTTTTCCCCAGAGGTTGTATTTTATTAGATATTGTACAGACATAAGTAAGAGAGAGCCGCTACATTAGGGACCGGCAGCAGCAACCTACAGGTTGCTTCCAGTGGGTGTTGTGTGTTTTGTAGCTATTATGTTATCCATTTTCTCTCTGCTTCATCTGTCTTTGTTTTTATTACGGTAGTGCCTGGAGAGGGCCTACAGTGTGCCAGTCACTGTAAGCACAAAAACTCTTAGGCCTAGTCCTGTTCATATTAAATTTAAAAAAAAAAAAAAAAAAAAAAGACTGACGCTTGACAAGAGGAAAAGATGTAGTAAGGTACCTTGCTTGCCTGATGCCTCGCAGTGCCCCGATGCACTTGTTTAACCGCCCTGCTTGTTCAGAAGCCGAATCTGCTGTGGCTTTGGGGAAGTCCCTGTGCAAGGGCGAATGGGCTGCTACAAGTGTATTGAGGAGAGCTTGGGGTTTCGATGCTGGAAGAAGAAAGCAGGTTCAGCTCAGTTAGATGTTTAGAAAATGGGAAGAGGAAGCAGGGAAAACCCAGCTGCCCTTAGCTGACAGTTCGCTATGTGTTTCTGTCATTAACTACCACCATGGCATGGTGGTATCAACTCTGGTGGTGGTGTGGAATAGTAGCTCAGTGCCTCGCTGGGGGAGGAGTGACTTTGTGTGTTCACGTTCCAAGTTCTTATACTTCTCCCCACAGGAAAACTATGAGTGTCCTTCAGAGAGGCCAGCATAAAACCTTTGCTGTGGAAATGGTTTCTACTGGTTAAAGAAACACCAAAAAATCAAATATGCTCTACCTGCAGCTTTAAGGGGATTCCTTGATGAGAAGCAATTTTACCTTGCTCCTTCCAGGCAATGACAGGACACTGTCCAGCAGAAACCCTCTTTGCTCAGAGTTTGCTCAGCAGTTCTACTTATCTGCATCTTCTCTCTGGCTGCAGGCAGTGCAGGTACTCAGCACATTCAGGGTTTGCCCCAGTGCCCATTTCAAGTCTCTGCACAACTTTTTCTTACTATAATGTAAATCTGCTTTGTAAGTGTTCTTTTTATTTTTTAAACTAAATGAGCACCTCTAGTAGTAGTTTTTGGTAGTGGTGGTAAGAGCACTGACTTTTCTGTCCTTGGCTTATAGCCATTAGGGCAAGTCAAGACCTTGTAGGATCTGTTCTTAAGCAGGAACAGCCCTCTTTTCCATCTAAGTAAATCATGGCACCATTGTTCTAGAAGTCTCTGGACTATAAGTTAGCATTTTTCTAGCCTTGTCATTATTTAAAATACTCCCCTTGCCTTGTCAGCCTTTATAGTAGAAGACTAGTTCTTAATTTCTTTGGCAGTTTCTTTGTAAAATGGCTCAATGCTGTAGCAGAAAATGTCTTTTTTGCGTCAGTGGTAACTGAAGGCTAATATTTCGGGCATGAAGGAGTAGAAGGGAGAGACTCCTTGACAGTAGGCTGAAAACCCTCCTGAAAAAACCCTTCTCCTCTCAGGGAGACATCAGCCTCTGCAATTTCCAGGCAGTGTGGAAGGAAACAAGTTACAGAATCCTAAAGGACCCGAAGCAGGTCAAATATGATGTTCCTTAATACCAGCCTCCGGCTGAAATGGCACACAAGTGAAGAACAGAACAAAGAGGCTTTCTGGCCGTTGTTTTGTGCTGGATGTAACCCAGCTGACACAGCTCCCTAGAAGATGCAATATCCATAACTTGGGATGACTGGACACTAGAGTGACAGAAATTTAGGTATTAGTTTAGCCCTAAAAGGCCCACTGCAAGAACTTAGAGGCACCATTTGGGTAGTTCCCAGCTGTTCTCAGAGGAATCAACGATGAGCCTTGCTCCAGAGGTGCTTAACTGGGTGCTGCATGGAGTTCTGTTTGCACTGAATAGCAGTAAACTCTTTCATATGTGGAAGAGGACTGAGCACTCAGTAAGTAAATGGAAAACTACACATAATGAATGCCGTTGTGCAAGCTGTTACCTCAATAGTAAGAGTTTCCATACTTTTTTTTAAGCAGGTGTATACTAGCAATCTGCTGTTTGATCATGTTTGCAACCAAAACACTTAGCACAAAAAATGTACATAGCTACCAGCTGTCAAGAATTTCCATGTTCTTACCACGTACCACAAAGCATCTTTGCCTGCTTCTGCTCTTGTCTGTGTCCCAATAATTTACTAATTGCCATACCTCTGCCTTACAGCGACACCTGCTGCCACGGGCAGACTTGACAGAAAGCTAGTTGTTCGCTCAAAGGTGTAATTTTCTGCATCACAATTGATTGCTAGTAGCTTTTCTAGAATATATTAAAGTTCCCTATCTGGTTCCTGAATCTGCTGTTATTGCTAAAGAAAGAAAATGCCCCTCAGGCCAGCAGTTGGAACACACATGGTGTAAATGAGCCAGTCCCAAACTTGATACCCACGCTGCTTTTTGCACCACCTATATGGTAACTTAATCTCTTTTTATCAAAGCTCCTTTACTCTGCGGTGTGACATGGCTTCAGCATGAGGAATTCTATTGGTCAGCTTCAGAACTGATACGAAATGCACTGTAAATTACACATCATTCAGTGATGGCAAATTAGGATGTATGTTTGGAAATGTACGCTTTGGTTTGAACTGAAGTAATTATGTGGCTAAAACCTGGACTTTGCCGAAGTACCAGTATTTGCTAATCATGGTCTTGATCCATTAGTGGGGGGCTTGATTCCAGGCCTGTCTCTGATAACCTCCCTAATTCATATCTGGAACCGTTTGCAGCTTGTACCAGAGGCAAAGTTTATCGGATAGGGTGACTCTCCTCTCTTCCGCTCTCCCCCTTTTAAATCCCTGTTAGAGCTCATTTCTTCCATGCCCTGACAAGAAATTGATGGATTAAGGCCAGCTGGGGAAGGTTCAGTGTAACTCACCAGTGTGAAGGGTGAATGGAGACCAGTTATCCCCCTACTTAAACTGAAAAACAAAAGTTAGGATGAGACTGAGTGCTTTGGAAAAGGTTGTCAGTAGAGTACAGGTGTGTTTGAATGTAAACAAAATCTGATTCCCCATTTCTCCCTCCCCCCAGGCTGCTTTGGGGGTCACTCTCTTGGGGTGCAGGTAGTCAAAGGCAGAGACTGGATCAAGAGAGATCCTGGAAGGGGGATGCTTGAGTTCTGTTCAGAAAGACATAGATCTGTCAGTCGCAATCTTTTGTTCTTTCCTCAGGCAGATTTCCCAATAGTTTGGTCAAGGATTGAGGAAGAGTAATTGGACTGGACATGCTAACTTTAGTGTATGGGCTCACAGGTATGCCACAAATCAAATGAATTTGTGCAAAAAAATTAGCAGAATTGCTGCTGGCTAGGAATTGAAAGTATACCAGAAGAGAAACTTTAGTGATATCCTCTTAGATGACAGATTTTGTTAGTTTATAGTTCAGTGAAATATATTTTCCACTGTCAAAACAGATAACTTATTTCAGTAATAGAAAAATAACATTGTTTTTTCCAGCATGAAAGTAATCCCAGCAGGGATACATATACTGTACTATGCTAATACAATTCTACTTTAATACAAAGTAGAAACTTAATATCATTCCTGAGATGTTACTATTGCATTATCAAAAATGAATTGCAGCAAGAGCAAAATGACTGATGTTCCAAACAATATTATTAAAGTTTGCAGCAGGTCTCTTACAGGCTGCAACAATAATTTAAATGTCTGCTTTAATTATTTGGTTTTTTTTTTTAATTTATTTTTCTGTACAGCTACTGTTAATTATCTCTTCTTATACAAGCATTTCTTTCTTAGCATTCTTATTTTTAACAGAACGGTGGTTTGGTGGTTGTCTTTTTTGTTTGGGTTTTTTTTTTCCCCTCCAAATGCATATTGCATCATTTTGTTGTCGAATGGGTGGTATCATTCCTCTTTAGAAGAGGAGAGACTGGGAATGCCCTGGTGAAATAAGCTGTCTCAGGGAAGGTAAATGTTTCTTTAAACACTGCTTGTTATTTTCATTATGTGTGAGGAAATGTGCCACTCATGCCTGGGAAGCAAAAAAGGTATAATTCAATTTCCTATCTGTCCCCATTCTTTACTCTTGAAACCAGATGGGTACCTCCTTGGGGGCAGGTGTATCTTCCCCCAGCAAAGGCTTTCTCCTTGGTTTGTGGTGGTGGGGGCGTGTAGGGTCAGCGGTGACTTCTCACTGTCACCCTTGTCTGCTGCTGGAAGGAGGCAGCATCTTTGCACCAGGCGGAAGGTAGTGCACAGTTCCCTACTTTCCAGTGCCTTGAAAGCCCTTCAGACCGAGAAAGTGGTAGCAGTGCTGTCTCTGCAGCTCCCCAGGCACAGACCACCCTCCCCATGGGCCTGTTTACCTCCATCCTGTGCCTGCCCGGAGTGTGATTTGGGCTTTGAGAGACTGCTGGCACGGGAACGGCTCGGCGGTCTCATCCTTGGTAGAGTGACAGGACAGTGCATGAGGTTGTTGTGTATTGAGAGAAATAGCAGGACCGCTCCCCTTTTATTCTTGCTTATTTTATGAGAACCTGTCCTCTTTTCTTTGTTTTCTGAATATGTTTGTACAAAACCCCAGAAAGTCCATGCTCTTCTGGTTACGCTTTCTGCTTTGCTCTCACAATTGCTAAATTTTAAGTAAAGTAAAATAATTGTGTGGTTCATAAATCAGACCCTGAAATAGGAGGCAGTGGGGCTGGGGAGCAGTAGTGGGGCAGAACGGAGACAGTAGGTGAAGGAGAGGAGATGAGGTTTTTGGTGCATGTGGGAGGAAGAGTGAGGCTGACAGAGGGTATTTGTGTCACCATGAGTTGATGAGGTGATGTGTGCATCTGGAAGCTGGAATAGATGAAATGGCAAAGAGGGAGCGATTAGGGACCGAGACAGACCGTGAAGACAGAAAGAGCAAAGATACATAGCATTAGGGCTCAAACTGTTATGGGTACCTTGTATTTGGACAGAGTGGTGAGTATGGTTTGCATCCTGATACTTGAAGAGTAGAGCTCTGCTCAGCACAGGTGGCTTCACTGAAATCAGAGACCTTCTCAGGGCGTGAGGACCAGCTGTGTACAGAAGCCTCTCAAAGTAATGGCTTAAAGCAAATACTAATCTATGCCCCCTCAGGTAAGCCTTTCAAAACTGTAGAAGTTAAGAGTAGGGTTGGCTACAGGAAGAATTAATCGCATAAAGGAAAGTTTAACATACTTCTGTGGTTCACAGCTATTGATTTTAGTTTGCTAAAGAGCAACATCATCAAATGTTTGAGACAGGAAAGCTAGCTGTTACACTAAATTTCTGAAACTCTTTTTCTCTGTCGGGGGACTATTGATAGGTTGAACTGTGACTTGATAATACTCAGTTTTACCTGTGTACAACATAAATGAAAGCACCAGGGTCTCTCTTGTTCCCTCTCTCTCTCGTGTGTCCCCCCCCCGCCCCCCCCCAT